TCGTTTGCTGGCGGAAAACAGGAGCGTCAAGTAGAACATAAGTAATGTTCTTCACAATGTGGTATTGAACCTTGATCTCATATTCGTTACCAAGAACCTTGACTTTCATCGGGTCAGCGGGCTGGTCGACTGGATAGTCCACTCCGCCAACACATGGGACGACCCAAATGAGGTTCTGCTGGCCGAGATGCTTTCCCATAAGCTGGGCCATAACACCCAAGCCACCGATTTTGATTTTGATGGCCCAGTCTTCGATGTCATACTCCATGGTTGCGATAAGCGTTGTTCTTCTTCGTGACCCTGCCGCACCAAAGGCTGACGTGCTTTGCAGGAAGCCAGACTTATTAGCCAGACGTACTAGGGCGTTCGTGGATTGGCCGTCTTTGTTGGCCCCCGTGCCAAAAATTGTCCCGAGGAAAGACTTCTTCTCCACCACTCCGACTTGGTTAAACTTGACTTGATAGAATGACTTCATGAAGGCATAAACGCATGCAGCACCTGTTATGATGGGGACCAGCCACAGCAGGATGTAGATGATCAGCTGTGCAATTCGAGAGCCAGTCGGCTGAAGATTGAGTCTCATGTTTCCATCATCTAGATGAACGTTCCACACGAGGTATGGATACGGAGGTCTCTTGGTGATGTTGACAGACAGTTTGCTGAGTGACGAAGGCGGCATGCGCTCCAAGACTCCATCGCCGTCCACGTCACCGAATACAAACGACTCATCGGGTTTACCATCTGGATCCATGCCCCAGACGTTGAATTGCCCTTGTGCCGGGTATTCAGCCACAACCCTGAAGTTCCAGTAACCTTCACTGTCTTGCTTCACAACATTATCCAAGCCGGCGTCATAACCGTACTGGTTGTACGGTCCATCGAAGAAGAAGTGTGGGAAACGCCGCTTAGGACCATTCCAGTCGTAATCGCCCTCTTGAACATAGTCACTACTGCCAGTCAACTGACTCCAATATTCAACTCGCACATGCTTGCCCTGCCACTTTTGCTTTTCTGTTCCGGACCAAGGCAACTCCTCGATGCTGACGTTGCCCCCAGTATAGTTGAACCATCCGCTGAAGGTAGTTCCCCAATTTGTCGAGTACCGGTATTTGCTAGCTCCAGCGGCTCTGTGGTTAACATAGAGTGTGCCGTTGTCATACTGGTTCAGAATGCTGGTAGAATAATTGGAAGTGGTGAAGACTATCGGGTTGTCACTTTGACCAACACGGAACAACAGGTGGTCCACAGATCCCGTAGAATCTTTCTTGTCGGAAGTGGTGGCATTTTTGACAGTCAATTTGTGGACACCGTTATACACGTTATTGAGCTTCGCAGACCAGGTCCATGCGCTCGGAAGTTGGCCGATATATTGTGTATCCGTATCATTAGCACCAGGAATACTCTTGCAATTGACGCTGTTTTTGTCGATGGAAGGCGTTTTACCAGATTCCGTTTGCGACGTGAAGGTGATGGCTTTGGTAACCGAATCACAGTCCATTTCGGTAGAGAACTCAAGGCTCACATCAATGTCCTCAGCCTCGTCATATGCAACGGTAGAAAGAAGCGGGACATCATGGCCAGGTGTGAACTTGGTGATCATTGGTCCGGGGCCGACCCAACGAGCCTTTGGAACGTATGCTCTGTAGTCGAATGGTTTCAATGTCAGGCTATCAAGGCATCCGTTGTACTCTTTCGAACCGTTCAGATGCAGTTTCTTTGGGCTGTCCTTTAACTTGAGTTCGTCAAATGGGTAGAACAGGTTCTTGACAGTGGTTCCTGAGTCGAACGGAGAGATCAACGCACTGGCATTGCTCTTGCAGTTGAAGGTGTATGTAGCAGTCTTATTGTCATTCTGGTACACCAGCCATACTGATTGATTTGCCTGGTCAGATCCCAGATCTTGAACATCTGAAATGATATCTCTCAGAATAGACCACATGCCGGTCTCTGTCTTCGTGCCATAAGAGCCCGGATAGAGGATATCCCTCGTCTGCTTGGACAGGGTCTGTAGTGAGTAACCATCGTTCAAAACCGGATAGTGTTGTCTCATTTGGTACATATGTTTAATGATGTTCCGGATAGGGTGGGTGGGATCGCGGTGGTCGTAGGTCACAGTCATATCATTACAACCATCCCGACCTTTGGTAATAGGCCAGTCATAGTATTGAGTATCATCAATAGCAGAGCATCCATGGGTCTTCCAAGCGGTGGCTGGTGACATTGCTTGACGACCATAAACATAGTTATCTGCGGTCGCGTCTATTATGTAGGAGCCTTGCTCTTCCCCCCAGAGTAGAAGAGGAATGCCAGGCATTTGCAGTGTTGTAATGAAGATGCCCAGAAGATTCCGTTCAACACCCCATTGGATGGCAGGCCAGCGAAAAACGTCCTGGTTCGTGACTCCGTACATATGTCTGGGATCGAATTTCCCCGTATTTGCGTTAATCAAGTCGTTGCTTTGCATCATGACGTTCCAGGCATCCACCCAATCCAGGGGAAGGTCATAGCCTGCAGCCAAATTACCGCTCATGCCGAGGAACCGCGTAAGGGTGCGATAGACAGAATAGTGGAAGGCAGCACCGTCAATAGCTTCCAATTCGGGGCCGCGCAAGAAATACTTCGAATCAGACTTATTCGTCAACTTGATCGCATCCAAAGCAGAGTCTGGGTATTGGTTGGGCTGTCGACCACGTCCAAGGAAGACTGAGCCCAGATTGTTTCCACCAGTGATTTCACCAGGGAGAAAGAAATTCTCCTTCCCGACACTGCGAGCACATTCCCGGTAGGTATGCGAGATGTCTGCCAAGGCATCTACAGTCGACTGAATAGCTTTATCATAGCGAAAGCCGTCGATGTCCAGAGCTTTGATGATGTTGCAGGAATGAAGCTTGATCCTGTCCCGTACACTGGGATGCCACTCACGTAAACGGTCCTGGACTGAAGCAAACTTGGTCAATTCACGCTGCCAATCTGGATAAACACCAAAGGCTTCAAGGTCTCCATATTGGTCGAAATCACTGTCATAGCATCCCACAAGCTCTTTGTGGACGGAACTATCCACTGGATAACCAGTCTCGTTCCAGAAGGCAGGGTAGTCACAGGTTTCATTGTAGGTATTTCCAGGACGGAAGTCGACATATTGACGGTCCGATTTCCAGAGAGTCTTATATTCTTTAACTGTGAATGGCGCCGTCACATTGAGGTAACCTTCAAAGCCGATCAAATCTCCCATGCTGATGAGATACCATTGGTCAATAGTTGGTTCACAGGAGCACAGACGAAGCATGACAGACTTACGTTGCAAGCGTATTGTCGAATATGACATACATTCCACGCTTGTGGATCTCATCGATAGTGTCCCTCCATACTTGAATAGTGCCATAATGCTGGTCGAGAAGTGTCGTGTCCAAGATCGAGTAGCCATCTGCACCCCAAGGCTGATTCATGAGGATAGTTCCCGCAAGATAGATACCCTATTACAAATGTTCAATAACATGAGCAAAGTCAAATTCACATCAGGAAAAGAGGCGAGTCGATGATGAGAGGAAAGGAACACAAACCTTGATGCCCATGCCCTGTAGATAATCCAGTGTGTCAACCAAGCCTACTGCGTCACCTCCATGACGCATTTGATTGGAATTGAGATCATGTTCGAAAACAGTGCCGTTAATGTTGTCATTGGCTGGGTCCCCATTGACCCAACGGTCTAACATTATCGTATAGAACGGAAACCGCCAGTTCTTGGGTGACTCCGTATACTTGTGACCCGGCCATGATGGTGGAGAGTATTCGAAAGGACTAGTCGCAGTCTTGTTGACATTGAGGTTGTAATCGACCAAAGATGCCTCGTAAGGCCAGGCTGTTGTTGTTGGTGCGAAGAGCGCAAGCAGCGAGCCTGCGATCCCCCACTTCATCGTCAACGGGCACGAAAAATAAACCGCTCTCTGCTTCTCCCGTACTATATGCTCGGCATATATTCCAAGAAGCTAACGAGTGTTGACCGGGAGGGTAGCCAACTGGAGCAGTATTTCGTGTAGGGGATGGCCGCTGAGAAATATGCCCAAGGATGCCGTAGTCTGTCTTCCTTCTTATGCTTTTGGGGGGCTATTGTAGGAGGGTGTTAGCGAATCATGGGCAGCAGATAAACCGAGCAAGGAAAAAGATGTACCCACAACAGATGCAGCTGCTGTGGCGGCAACGCAAGAATAGAAAGACAATAAGGGGAGAAATAAAAAAGAAAAATCAAGAAGAGAAAAAAATAAAAACAATATGCCCGAGGATATGTCCGATATCCTGCAAGAATGAAGATCAGAGTGGATAAGTGGGAGAAAGCATCATTGACGATGATTTACAAGCAGACAGGAAGCTCAGCGAGGGAATGATATCGCCTGATACAGAAAAAAGAAACGACGATCTTTCCCAACAGGTTGCCATTATGCTGCTCAATGCTGATAACTAGTTCTCATCGGTGTACCACTAGACAAATGGCAAGGCAGAGATGGAGATACTGCCATGACTTGAGAACGGGGGCTTGGGCCATGATTTCCGAGTCCAGCCACCGGAACCTCCGTGATGACTGGGCTCACATCGCCTTGCCATCCAAAACGAGAATTTGCAGATGGCCATTGGCTTCAAGGGAAGATGAAGGTGGGAGGGGGATGCTGGGAGGAGACACGAAGCGAGGACAAGCGGTAGTCAGTCCTGTGTCCTGTATGTACGATGGATGTATGAATGTAGGTATTCATGTATCGGAGTGCCGTTCCACGGATACCGACAACCCAGAATCCTTACCACTTGTGGCAATTAGTGGGGCCGGCGGGGACCAGTTACGCTCTCCCATTAGCTGAACTCTGGCGCCATCGGGTACTGTTGATCCCGCTAAGATACGCTCGTTCCAAGTCAGGGCGCCTGATATATCACATCAGAGTCAAGTATCTCACAGTATGAGGCGTTCTTCTCTTCCTTATCACGATGGTCGTTCGGACAGTAGTCGATGCATGGTCCATATCAAATCTGCTTCTTTTTTTGTCTCATCGACGCCAATGCAAGATACAGCGCATGTTCTGATAGTACACTCGATAGCACATGCCGTTCAATAGTAAGTGAGCATATACTCTGAATGCCAAACTGTGTTAGATTGCCTACTTAGACTGATGCTGACTAGGTACTAGCAAGTCAGTAGTAAAAGTGCCTTGCTAGGATACGCATACTTCATACTACAAAGTGCCTACTATATTTCTCGGCCATCCCGGCTCCTCTATACCTTGTTTATGTCGTCGATAATATACTATAACGGTGGGAACACTCGCCTTGCACCCTTGTACCCTCAGCTGCAAGCATGTTCGAGATTAGGCCTCAGCAATACGCGACGGCGATCGTGTTCCACGAGGCAGTCTGGAAAGAAAGCGAAGGCAGAAGAAATTCATGCACTCCCGTACAATTCGTGTTAAATCCGTGCTATATTTAAACTTCAATATCTGCTGACGCACCGGCCTATCAGCAACAATGGCTTGCCCACGTAGTCGCCATTTAGTCATGGTCTGCGCCTTTCACACTCTGTTTATCGCAAAAAACCCAGGCTGATCATCCAGGACTGCATGCGCTAAGCCTCAGAGACTGGATGCAAGTGGTGAGTGCATTACGGACTGTTGAAGTCCTAGTTTACGAGGACCCCGAAGAGCTTGGCTTATTCTAGCGGCTCTCTTGGACACGGCAGAAAGCGGGTCAAGGGAGGACTATTGATACTAATCAGTTCGTCGCGTGCGTAATGCTGGGACCCACGACGGTGTAACTGCCTCTGGTGATCGGAACGTTCGGGTTAGCCGAGCAGTTGTAGTTGTCTTTGCATTTATGTCCGCATTGTGATACGTCATTCCATGACTCGCATCGAGATAGACCGTAGTGCTACTTAATTCTCTCAAATACCGAGTACATTGCAGTGACTGCTGGTCAAAGGAAACAGAGTCTATGCCTTCTTGAACGACTAACCATTCAACCTCGAGTGATATTACAAAAGAACATGCTCAAAATCCATGACGCGGTGGACTTCTGTCAGAGCTTTAGCCTCTTATCGCTGCGATCGGCCGCCGGAAGTTAATCGTTGGGTGCTCAGGCCATGGAAAAAGCAATGTTGCAGTCCGGTAGGAGGGGAAAATACCTAACAGAAGCAATATACTTGGCAGATTTCGGAAGTATTAGAAGTGGGAAGGTTGCCACATAATTACCTTTGTCATAGTGTCTGGCTATCAAAGTCATTTTGCGTTTATTTCCCTTGCTTCATAGCTTCTTAGGTGGGTTCAATCATGGCACAGGAGAAGTTTGGCCGTCTATCGAGTTTGTGCTATTAAGTGATGGCTTACTTCCCTTCCCAGAGCTTGCAATATCAACTTAGGCCATGTATCCTTATAAGGTGCGATCTTCATGCAAGGAGGATAAGCTACTAACTGGGAGATACCAAGAACCACCCAATGATGGGGTTTCGCCTAAAGTTATAGTTTCCTCGGAGGAGGAAGGTCGAATAGCTTCTGTGTATATAGGAAGAAGAGAAAACATACAGATATAGTAGGATCAGTTCAGCCAGCCATGAAATCAAGAGGTCCTTGGGAACAAGTGAGCAAGTTTGCTCCTACTCAGAATATCCTCCATTATGTGGGGTAATCCATGAATGGCCAAAAGAATTGTGCCACACAGATGACGCATATACTCATGTAAAATCTCAGAGAACTTGTTGCTCCGACGTTGATTATAAATCTTTGTCATGCCTTGATCGAGTTGGGTGCTCTCATCGCTCGAGATAAAAAGAAGGGGAAAATAGGAGTGTGTGTGTGATGCTCTGGATCGATCGTAAACCCGAACCGGGACTTTTTGGAACGTCCACTTACAGTAATTTTCCCTGGCGATAGACGCGCTCCCTTGCTTTGAAATCTTATAGTTTCATGCCTGTTTCGTGGCGTCGGGACAACTGTCAAATGATAGTGACATGTAATATGCATCGGCAAGCCACGCACAACTGCTACCTGCCTCGGGCGGTATTGTAATCCGTACGAATACGAATCCATGGAAAGAGTTGAATGTCCACGATGCCATACCGAACCTCTCACTAGCTTAGTCTCATATAATTGTCGTGGACCGCAGTCTATTTGTGGATATTCAGAAACGCAAGCCCCTGGCATTACTGCCACGATGCGATGGCATGAATGCAGGCAAACATTCCAAGATGCGACTAGATACCGTAGTTATGGTTGAAGCAACTCTTAAGTTCAGATTAGCGCGACTCAATCTGCTTCAGTCAAGCTGCTATTGGCTCTTCTGAAGATTTCATGCAGCCAAAGTGGAGTTAGCCACACTCCAGACCGCTTGTCGAATTTCCAAGTCAAAGCTGGTCCCTAATCTTATCCTTTTACCTGGGTTATTTTGGCGGCTGGTTATTCCGATGATGGCTACTAGGGTCCCTGCTCACCTACCGTTCGGACGAACGATGATCAACAACACATCAGCTCGATCCACATGATATCGAACCCTGTCTTCCGGTAGTCTTTCATATCAGATACATATGCAAAGATTGCAAAAATTGAGCGTTGGATTGTGTTACTGTCATCCACCGAGCACGGACCGCATCGAATCTTTCACCCGATAGAGCCATGCTTGGGTATATGGTGCGAACTGAACACATGCTGCTGCTCTCTAATACGAGCAACTTCCAACTCTCAGATACCAGTAGAGCCTTGCCAAAGGCCAGACGCCATCAGATCTTAGTGTACTGACATGTCTGACCGAGAGGGCCGGTGTGCCCCATGCCAAGGTCCACAATAACTGGTACCATTCGGAGCCCAGCCTTCCTTGAGAGAGGCTCAAGGCGTACTCGTGTATATCATGCAGCAGTTGGATAGTATACCAAGTGGCTTTTTGAATGCATGCATTAGTTTTTGGGCATTGCGGCAGTAGATCTTCTCAGCACGCCCCCCACAGCTCCTTGTTGTCAGATTTCGCGACAACGAGCGGTCGCCTCATTTGCCAGTCTTGAGAGAGTCGGAGCAGACACAGGAGACGGAGACGTCAGAAATGAATGGGAATCATTCCTACTATAGCAACTTCCTCTCGGTTCTTAGCGACCGGTACTTCCTTCTATGCGGTGTGACTGCCATTCGTCTGGTATTTCAGTAATCCGGGATGATGTGCTCACTCGTATGGCATTAGCAATAGGTTGCATGCACAATGGAATTGTAAAATAACTGGAGAGACAGAACCTGGTTTGGGTTTACCGCCGTATGGTCTGTGCACAGTGTAGTGAAGTTTGCCCATCTGCCATTGAAGGCAATATTGCGTCTGAGCCACAGTTCCATTTCTGATCTTCAGGCTTTTCCCTCTGCAGGTGAGCTGGCTTATCCGGTGTGCAGGTGCCGGTAAGTCCTATAGGCACATGGTTTGACAGTGGGGCCCAAGCACATATCATCTGCATCGATACTGCAGACCCCGGACAAAGTTGACTTGTTCGACATCGCATGGTAGTAAGCTTATATATCACTTTTTGTGGATCACAGACAAGACTTTAGCTTAGCTGCTCATGCAGGTCATCTGCGAACCTTTGTTGATTGCGTTCCCAGGCGCGCTGGCCGACCAGGCAGATGGAATATTATATGGCTAATGATAGAACAGGGAAGATGCATCCTGCAGAACCCACTTCCTAGTACACTGGAACTCACATTCTACTCTGGTTTGGAGACTTCGGAGGCCGGGAGTGGGTACAAAATTTCCTGGTCAAAAGTAAAATCACAATGGAGGGAGGGAAAGATAGAATACGTAAGAATTTACCCGGGTATTCACCGACTGTTTAGCAGGATGCAAGTAAAGCTTCTAGTCTTTCTTTTCTTAGGAAACCCTGGAGACAGATTCCTGTGTTACCCCATTGCCGGGTCGCCACAGGGATCCCATCCTCACCGGTCTCTCCGTGCGGCGGTTCCGAATAACACACCACCTAATGGCTTTATTAAGAAGAGCAAGATTGATGGATATGAATGTCTGTCTATCAATCCCCAGCAGGTGGGAATGATGTGGACTATGTGTTCTGTTCAACCTGATGGTATGTTAGATATCACAGTATGTTACTGATATAACACCCAAGGTTGAGGCAATTTACCTTTCTTGATAATTTGCGCAGAGGTCTTTATTGTAAAGCAGCACAAACTGGAGTCACATCTATGACCAAGTTCGAAGGACACAAGGGTAGCACTGGCTTAAAAATCTGTGTTATGAGTGAGTTTGTCACTTTAATCTGTAGCCGCTCATAATCGAAGTTCTAGGGTTCCTTGGTTTCTCTTCCACTGGAACGTGCGGTAGAACGGAGTTGCCGTTGCGCCATTGCAGTTCATCAGTTAATTCGGAATTAGTTAGATTCATCGTATGACTCAAGTCTTCAATCAAGTCTGGCTGTCAATCAATCTGTTTCGGAATGCGAAGTGACTCCACTACAGTAATTGAGTAACTGTGGCTGCCTTCAACCGCTCTTTCCCTGCACCACCGCTGTAACATACATACTAACAACCCCATTTATTTATACAGTAACCGCTTGAAGATTAAGATCTCACAGCATTGTACAGCATGTTTACTGTGGTGTCAATTTATTATTTATTTGTCGCATCCATGACAGGTCCGAGCGTGAGTATGTACTACCATAGGTGAAGAGGGAACAGAATGCCAAAAATAGGTACTCTATATTGAGAGTGTACTCGGAAGAAAGACATCAAGGATGAGAGACATGGTAAGCAGTTATTTCCGCAGTTTCGCATTAGTTGTAGTTTCAAGTATGCAGTTGAGATTGCAGGCAGGTACTTCAGCGTGATAGGTATTGTTATGCCAAACTATGGACTGTGTCGAACAATCTAGGACATCATCCTTTGCGCTAGACCTGTACTGGACTTTTGGTAGAAGCACAAGTTTCCATTTGACGCATGGAAGCAAATTGAGGAGCTGGCCAATTAGCCTGTCAATCTCAGCCGAGTGATAGTGAAGCGCACGATCTCTTAGTATATATTAAGAATAGCAAAAGCTAATCTACTAATCTGATGTGGCTTTGCATAGCATATCAGGACCCAATGGCAGAAGTGTTACAGATATGCACGCTGTCTCGTAAGAAAGCACAGAGTTGCAGAAGACTTTTTGGAAAGATAAACAATGGAAAACCGCAATTTTCGGTTCTAGCGCCTGTCAGAACTTATCATTATAACCTAGTAAGGTTGTCCAGCCGGTTTGGTGCTCACAATAAGCCGTCTATATCTCCTGATGGTGGTCTTTTGCCCCTTTGAGCTGAACCCCAGCCTGATATAGTGGTATAGATACAACAGGAGCAACTAGTGCTACAGTCCGGTTGACCTTGCCGGGGAATCCTCATAAAGTTCGCCTAAAACAGCAAGACATGAGCAGTTGTCATGAAGCTTAGGCATGTATGATGTGCTGCCCAAGCTCAAGTTGGAGCTGCAAACTATCTGGTATGCTTTTGCACGAGGGCACAGGTGCATTCAGCAACCATCAGACATATTCGTGTCATTATGCAGAAATAGCTGTTAGTCACATTTTATTGTAATTTGATTGGATATCTTTACTAGCCATGCAATAGCCTAGTTGAAAGTAATTTCATGATCACTACTAAACTGATCAAGACCTTGTCTTCAGCAG